ATTACCCAATATTACAATTGACATCAAGTTTTGAAGAATATTTTTGGTTTCATCATAACTATATGAAGATTAAAACAGAAAACAAAACAGAAAGAATGATATTGAGGAAATAAATCCCTCACAAAACCATTAATGAAAAAAAAAATTGAAGGAAAAGCTGACGCAAGAAATCATTGTGGCAGGAATCGATGTTCTTTCTCTACTTTGTTCTTGTAATGACTCGGTGAGTTAGATCAACCAGTGCTCGGCTTGATTTTTGAACATCCTCATCATCATTCTCAGCTAGCTCTCTGGTTCTGTATTCCCGGACTCCGTCCAAGGTAATCGAGAGCCTATATTTTCAATTGCATAGAGTGTTCGTTAGTTTAATAAAGTAGAAGGGTGAATGAATACAAATCCATGTTGATTCACTTGCATTATCATCCTCGTATCTAATTTAGGCACTTAAATTCTCTAATTTCATATGAAGCTTGAAGTAGAAGATAGTCACATTTCCTAATGAAGAAACATTTTTAGCATCTCACTCAAATGGGAGAAATAAATTCCATATATTTTCTAAATCCCATTTAATATAAAGTACATTTAAGACGTGTCCCCATACTCATGCCTACCTTTTAAATGCAAACATTAATTTCCTGATATGTAAGTTTAGGAAGACCTTGGACACAAACCTGCATCCGATGCATCCGATACCAGTGCTTTGTGAACATGTCTTCAGATGACCACAGTTTGAAGCTAAATTTAAGAATTTACACGGGACACACTTTGGTAGGTGACCAATGAAACATAGACATCAAGTTAATACTATCCAATAATTTAGGAGAAAAAATAGAACTAAGATACAAAAAAATAGTTAAATTCATGAGAGAATGGGAGCAGAGAGGAGGATCATAACTATGTTTCTTTGGGAAAAAACAAAAAAAAAAAAAGGAATCACTGTGATTGTGCATGTATATACATACATTTGACATACATAGCTACACGTAGTTTGTTGAATCGTGCATAATATGCATAACATGTAGAATGTAACATAGAAACTTGCAAGATCTACGTCTGCAGGGTTGTCGAATCCCCGATCAACGACTTCACACAGTTGCAGGAACTCCTCCCTGGCATATAATATTGGAGTTGTTACAATTCCCTGCAAAAGAATTTTAATTTTCTGCACTTATATGCTTATCCTCTATACAAGCTATACATCCAAACCAAACTATAAGCCTAGTGTCCCAATCAAGTGAAGTCGCCTACATGAATCTTTATTTCTCCATTAAGCTCTATCAAGTGCAATATGCTCAATTAAATTCATATATTCTTTCATTACCATGAAAAAGCTTTGGGACATTTCTTATTTTTTGGGCATCTGTATTAAATCTGTTGGTGACTCCTATGTTCTTTCTCATTACAAGTATGCCTCTGAGATTTTAGTCAAAGCTGGTATCTCTTCTTGCAAGCCTTGCAACCGATAGCTGTCAAGCCTGTTATCAGTCATTCTGATGCTCTTCCTTTTCATCAACCTGAATTGTATAGGAGTGTGGTGGGAGCTTTACAATATTTGACCGTAACAAGACCTGATTTGTCTCTAGTTGTCAATCAAGTTTGTCAACATATGCATGCTCCATCCAATTGCAATTTTGCTGCTCTAAAAAGGATCCTCAGATTTGTGCAAGGATCTTTCTCTAATGGTCTTACTTTCAGTCCCAGTTCTTTTGATCTACAAGCCTTTTCAGACTCTAATTGGGCAAGTGATACGTTGGATAGGAAGTCTGCTTCAGGCTATTGTGTGTTTCTTGGTTCTAATCTCATAAAAAGCAAACCACTGCTAAACATAGTTGGCTGCAAATGGTTCTTGTTGAGTTAGGTATTTCTGCTCTCACCACACTTTTTCTATGGTGTGACAATCTCTCAGCCATAGCCCTTGCTTCTAACCCTGTTTTTCACACTAGATCAAAACATGTAGAAGTGGATTGTCATTTTATTAGGGACAATGTGTGTGCTAAAAAAATTGTAATTCAGTATGTGCCTACAGTTGACCAAATAGTTGGTATCTTTACCAAGCCCTTATTAGCATCCAGATTTCATTATTTACAGGCCAAGCTTCTGGTCACCACTCTTCCCATCAGCTTGCAGGGGGCTGAGGAAATCAGGACTACAAAAGCAAAAGCCATGCCTAACGCTGAAAAGGCTATGACTACAGCCACAACTCAAGCTTCAATCCTTACTGATAAAACAAAAGAGCTACAGACCTAGCTGTGCATGTGTATGTATGTGTGTGTGAGTTATTTACATTGTAACAATATCTTAGTTAGTTGGATATATGGTTAGTTGGTTAGGTGAGGTTAGTGTGTTGTGTATACTATAATAGTTAGATATATGGTTACACTACAACAAAAATCACCTTTGGCGACTAAATTTTAAGTCGCCAAAAGTCCCTCTTTAGTCGCCAAAAGTGGATTTTTTAGATTCAGCGACTAAATTTTTTAGTCGCCCATTTTGTCGCCAGTACTTAGTCGGCAGAGGTATTGGCGACTAAACAAATTTTAGTCGGCAAAAACAGGTGTTTCAACGACGAAAGTGATGGTCGCCAATAGTGAATTACACTTTCGGAAATTATACATTCAGCGACTGATATTTTAGTCGCCGATAGCCATGAATCGCCGACCAAAGTCATTAGTCTCACCTTTTGGCTACTAAACTGAATTTTAGTCGCCAATACTCAGTTTTTAGCTACTAATTTTTTTTTGGTAGCCAAAAAGCTTCACTTTCAGCGACCAATATGTTTTTAGTCGGCAAAACACCTACAATCGGCGACCAATCTGTTTTTTAGTCGCCAAAACCATCACTTTTGGCGACTAAATTATTTTAGTCGCCAAAAACTGTCACATTCGGCGACTAAACTACCTTTAGTCGCTAAAACCCCCAGATTCGGCGACTAAAGTGCCTTTTAGTCGCTAAAAACCTTGTATTCGGCGACTAAACTGTTTTAGTCGGCAAAAGTGACAAATTTTGGCGACTAATTCCATTTTAGTCGCCAATTCTACTACTTTCAGCGACGAAAAAAGAAACTTTAGTCGTCAATTATGCTATTTGTTGTAGTGTTAGTTAGGTGAGGTTAGTGTGCTGTGTATGAGTACATATACCCCAAGTGTAATATCATTTCTAATAATGAAAAAAATCAGTTTCAATATTTCTTCAAGCACATCCTTAAATCTATTAATTGTAGATTAAAAGCTAATCACTGTTGTTCATATTACAAAAACATGTCATGGACATATCAATCTGTATAAATTTCTGTGTGAAAATTTTATATATTTAACATTTACTATCGATAATTGTCTAATGTGTACAAATATTATGCCTACTATGAATTCTCTCAAAGCTATTGTGGCAAGATTAAGATAGTCTCAGCACTATGAATTACATGTAGGCTCCGTTTATTTCAACATAAAATATTTTTGTCAAAAATATTTTACTCATTTTTCATTATTTGGTTGGAAAAAAGAAAAAAGTAAGTAAAATATTTTTTAAGAAAAATATTTTTGCATTAATTTTTTTTTTTAAATGACTTACCTTTAAAAATTTCGTAAGCCAATTTTTACAAAGTTGATTCTCACTCACTATCTTTTCAACACATTTAACATTTTCAAATAAATATCTTAACTGATTAAAAAGTCAAAAATGACACTTTATTGAATCAGATTTTCTCTTTAAGGCAATAAAATGTTTTTGTTCCAATTGTCAACCAAAAGCCGGAAATTTAAAACAAAAACATTTTTTTTGTGTAAAATCAATTTTGTAAGAAAATTATATTTTTATATAAAATATTTTAAGTCAAAACAAATGTGGCATGGTTTCATTTTGAAATCAACAGTCTTATTATGAAGAGAGATTATTCTATTATATATCCCAGAACTTTTTGCAAACACCTCTAATTTAAAATATTTCTCATAAGTGTGAAATGCAACAAAATAAAACTTTTAACAGTAATAATATTCCTTTATTTGTGAGTTTTTATTTTGTTTTATTTTATGTTTTATTTTTTTATTTTTTTCTTATGTTGACCAGCCGGTATTTTATAGTTGGTTCAAAATTGGCTTTTTGGATAATTAAGCATTTAGTGTTTTTGATTGGATATTAATGACAATTATGGGCGGCCTTACATAAATTTCATTAATATTCAATTAAGGTGACAAATACTTATTATTATAGCATTATTGTTAATAGCAATAAATCTGAGTGCATAACACAAATACCTCCTAAGGAGTGGGGCCTACATTGTGAGACATTTATTTTTTATTTTGTGTTTGATCTCTGTAACACATTTTGTATTTGATTTCTGTATTCCTAATATTATAATAGATAATAGAAATGAAGTTGATGGCTTTCTGTACAAAAAAAATTATTCATAATTAAAATATATGAACAAATTCATCTCGCTAAATTTACACTCTACATATCATTTGAGCAACAAAAACAAAATATTTTTACAATATAAGACACAAACATAAAATAAAATATGAATTCATATTTGAGATCCATCATACTTTACCCAAAACATGAATGCTTTCCATATGTGTCGTTGTCATTAGTACAAGTTCTGTTTTAGGAATGGCAAAAGACAAAAAAACGGTTGAGTTGGACTGTTTCAAGGTTCTTAACTCGTTATTGTGTTTTTTGAAATCAATGAAGCAAAATAATACGTAAAACAAAACAAAACAAAGACTCGGTAATATTCTAAACAATGGAATACCAAATCAAAACTTTGAACAGCTGCTCCTTTGCTGGTCAACCCCAACCTCTGTCTCTATATATACCAAGCCACATATTTCCATTGAAATTCAATACACCCTTCAATCAAACTCTAAACTCCATAACCCAAATCACAACTAGGTTTTAAATATCGATCCACAAGATCACAAGCCTAAAGCATTAAATACTCTCAACACCCAGATATAAAACTACCTCTCACACAAACCAATCTTCTAATCCAAAGCCAATAAATTATGGCCAGCCTTAAAGCTTCAAGCTTGATGTTCTCATCGACTTCAACGTCTTCATGTTGCCGGAGAGAGATTATCAGAGCTGCCATCCATATGCCGAAGCTCCACCATGGAGGTCTACTTTCTCTTCCCAACCTCACCAAAACTAGAGGTTTGGTGGAAGAGTTAGAAATGAGAAGTGGTTACACAAATACAAACACTAACTCTTCTCCTAAATATGATACTAAGGTTTCTGATCCTACGGTGATAGCAAAGCTTTATGCGATCATGGAGGCTATCGTGGATAGAGTGGAGATGCATAAGAATCTTGGAGAGCAAAGAAACAACTGGAATAGCCTTCTTTTAACCTCCATTAATGCAATCACTCTTACAGCCGCTACAATGGCGGGCATTGCAGCCACCGGTGTAGGTGGTGGCGCTGCCCTTGTGTCCCTTAAGCTCTCTTCCACTTTGTTATATTTGGCGGCTACTGGGATGTTATTAATCATGAACAAGATTCAACCATCTCAACTCACCGAAGAGCAACGAAACGCTTCTAGGTTGTTTAACCAACTCCACGAAGAAATTCACACGATGTTGTGCATTGGGAATCCAACCATGCATGATGTGAAGAAGGCAATGGAAAAGGTTTTGGCACTTGACAAGGCCTACCCGCTTCCCTTACTAGGCGTGATGCTTGAAAAATTCCCTAAAACTGTAGAACCTGCCGTCTGGTGGCCTCTGCATCAGGAGAAAAGACAAGCAACACGATACAATGGGAGAAAGATTAATAATAGGAATGGTTGGGACGATAAGTTGGAAGAGGAAATGAGAGAGATAGTTGGGGTTTTGAAGAGGAAAGACGAGGAAGACTACTTGAGGTTAGGTGAAAAGTTCTTGAAATTGAACAAGGTGTTAGCCATTTCGGGCCCTTTACTAACCGGCCTAGCAGCCATTGGCTCGGCTTTCGTGGGAAGCCCTAACCATGGCTCATGGGCTGTGGTGCTTGGAGTTGTTGGTGGCGCTTTGTCAACCGTCGTGAATGCATTTGAGCATGGCGGGCAAGTTGGAATGGTGTTTGAGATGTACCGGAGCAATGCTGGTTTCTTTAAGCTCATGGAAGAGTCTATTGAATCAAATTTGGAGGAAGAAGTGGAGAAGAGAGAGAATGGGGAGATGTTTGAAATGAAGGTGGCTTTGCAGCTTGGAAGGAGCTTATCAGAGTTAAAAGACCTTGCAGCTTCTTCTTCAATTAAAGGAGAGGCCATGCAAGAGTTTGCAAGCAAACTTTTCTAATTCATTCAATTCAATTCAATTGTAATATACGTAACACTAACTTCAGTTGTTTGTAGTTTTGTCCATACAGACTGTAAATCAATTCCATTCATTTATTCATTGTAAAAATAGTGAGTTAATGAAAGAAAGAATTATAATACTGAAGCAGTACATTGTGTGTTTTAATAAGATAAACATGTTCATTGGCATTCATGTTCACCAAAAATAGAAGACAACAATCTTATTTATCATCAAGTGGAGTGATTCCAATGAATTAATGTAGAGAAAAACAAAAAAAATAATAATCATTTATAATTTTCATACAACGCACTTCTAATGAGGCATAAGTTTAATGACAATTTTGTCAATAATTAATCAACCTCAAATTGCAAAAACATATTCAATGAAGGACAATACAAAAAGGTAGTGGAAGAAAGTGGTGTTTGTTTTGTAGTTGTCTTCTGCCTACCAATTATTGAAGAAATTGAGAGGTCGACTTAGGGAGCTTTCTTTTTAAAATTCATGAATAGTCCCACTGAGTTAAGAGACAAAGGTATATAATTCATAAATCTAGAAATGCATATGTATTTTACATAATAGAATACAAATGTGAGATAAGGATGGGTCTCACATGATGTCAGATACATATGTGAGACCCACCCTTTTGTCTCACATCTGTGTTTCAATTTATGAAATATTTTTGTGTTCTCAACATTGCTCTTATACACATTAATAAAACATTTTGTAAGAAAATCTTGCTTTCTCTTTCATTCCTAATAGGGGAACTCAAAATCTCCCCCTAGGAGAGATTTGGTGACCAAAGGGTTAGCCAACCAAGTTAGTGCCCTTTGGTTGCAATAATTCTCCTTATGATGAAGTTTACAAAATTTTAATGGATAAGATGTAGATTTAAAATTAATATTTATCCGGTCATATTGAGAATGAATTTTGCCATGTACTACAATTTTGGATAACATTCTGATTTTTTTTTTTTTTTTCCAAGTATGTAACACAATTGCATATAAAACCATCTTCACTCTATTAAAACATTTTCAATAGACAAAAAATTGTAGGTTAAAGCATGTTAATTGGCAAGAAGTGGTAGAAGTGATATCCACTTTCGTTCTAAATGTTTGTGTTAGCATACTTTCTTCATATTGTCTCTTCTCTCTGTGTGGTCCATTTAAATGAGGTTTGTTAACTATTAGTCTATTATAATTAGCATTAGTATCTGGATAAGCTTCAGGCCTCATTCCTCTATGGTGGGTCTGAATTAAGAAAGAAGGTTTACCTAGAAAATGGAAGGAAGTCTCCAACCCTGTTGAGCAAGGAGGGTTGGGGGTTAGGAGAGTTAATGAGGTCAATGTTTGCCTTTTATTGAAATGGTGGTGGAGATTTGGAGTTGAGAGCAAAGCACTTTGGAGAAGAGTCATATGCAGCAAATACAAGGTAGATGAGGGGAATTGGTGGCCTTCATTCAGCTCCAACAGCAGTTGTTCAAAAATTTGGAAGGATATAGTGAAAGGAATTGAACAAAATAACAGCCTTATGGAGTTTTTTTTTGGAAAATTGTAAGTTAAAAGTGGGTAATGGCCATGGAGTGAAGTCCTGGGTTGATAAATGGTGCGAAAATTTAAGTTTTAAAGATGAGTTCCCACTTTTATATAGATTGGTAGTAAACAAGGGAGAGTCTTTATCTTCAATGATGGAAAGGAAGGAGGATACAAGCAAGTGGTCATTCCAATTTGGAAGGGAGCTATATGATTGGGAAAGTGAGGAGGTTACCAGATTGATAGGATATCTGGAGGTAGGTCCTGCTATCAGGTCATCCTCAGAAGATACACTGGTTTGGGAGGCTTCAAAAACAGGGAGGTTTACTGTTGAATCGGTGTACAAGTTTATGGCAGGTGGTTTTGGCAACTATAGTATAACTAGCAAAAGGGTGTGAGTGAAGTACATTCCTCCTAGAGTTCAATTTTTTGGGTGGCTTGCTTGGAAAGGTAGACTTAAAACAGCTGACTTTCTTCTCCAGATTGGTGTTCTTAATGCAAATACATCAACCCTCTGCATTCTGTGCAAATCTGTGGATAAGTCACTTAACCATGTCCTACTGTCTTGCCCAGTGGCTTGGAGAGTGTGGTCAGAAATACTAAATTGGTGGGATGTGCAAGGTGCACTAGCATATACAGTGAAGTCTATTCTTAACTAGTGGGCAGGGGTTAGGCTCAGCAAAAAGGACAGGCTGATGTGGGAAGCTCTTCCTATAACAGTATTGTGGTCCTTGTGGAAACATCGTAATGAATGCTTGTTTAGGGATGTTGTCCCAAATGTGGAAGGAGTGTGTGATCTGATAAAGTTAGAATGGCTGTGTGGTGCAAGGAAGTGTTTAAAGATCATAAATTCACTGTGCATGATTTTATTTTCAAGTTGAAGCATATTAGATTCTGTTTGGTTGGTGGTACAGGGGGAGTGCTTTAAGGATGCTTAGTTTTGGGATGTCCTGTTGCTGGTATGACCCATCATGTTCAGTAGGGGGCCACGCAGTGTGATCTTCAATGGCTGGGTGGACTAATGAAGTTGGAATCTTGGTGGAATTTATCATTGATAATCCTGTTGCTGCTGATATTGCTATGTGATCTATTAGAATTTGGGTAGTTATTACGGTAGTGTGTTTGGGTGGTTTATTTGCCTAGCTGTTTTTTTTAAAATTTGGTGAGGTAGTTTTATAAGTGGTTGTTTATTTTGGTGTGTTTTATGTTGATATCTCTCCAACTTTTGTGACTTGGGCTTGCACGTGATTGGATGGTCCTTTTGGTGCCAACTTAGTAGAGATTAGGAGGTTCACTATGACACTTATTGCTCTTACCTTACTTTATTGATGTATTCATGTTTACTGCATTTTGTTTTCATCAATAAAGTGAAATTTTTTGCCGTTAAAAAAATAATTAGTATTAGTATATTTTTTTAGTCACTTTAATGGACTAGTTATTATAATAGTTATATTAACAAAATTATTCAAGACTAGCTACGTTTATATAGATAGGTAAAATAAAAAGTAACATTGGTATATATAGATTAAAAAAATAAATAAATAAATAAAGAATTAGGTAAAATAAAGAACATACTTTTTTAAATGTTTTAGCTAGTAAAAAATGATAAGTATGGTTAGAGTTGCTCTAACACCGCTAACAACACATGCCGTGTATCTTTTCTTTTTTTCTTTTTTTTTAATCGAGTGTCCGAATCAAGTTACGTATACACCTCAACTAATCTCAGATATTAATCCTTTGCCCACTTGCGAGGACCTCATTTAAAATCAGAACAAACGCCTTATATGGATTATTGCAACTAGTAAGTATTGAACATTGAAGAGAGCACAACCCTAAATCCCAAGTTATGCCTGAAGCTCAATTTGGGACAAATCAACCATTAACCAAGTAATTGCTGAACAAAAATGAACTCTAATGACACAACCAGACTAGGCTGTCCAATTCTTCATTATGAGCTCCTTATAGGATGTATTGTGATGATTTTTTATTTTTACCTTTTAGGTTCTTGTGAAAAAATTATCAAAAAAAAAAAATCAAATTAATTCGATAATTATAATCATATGTTTATATAAAGTCAATTTCTCAAACTAAATAGATAGGCTACAATATTTCAAATTTTATTATTTTTTACAACTAAATCAAATGCTCAAAAAACATTCACATAATGACTTGCTAGTTCAGAAATTTTGATAATAAAATTTCATTCCTCATTTGATTTCTACAATTCAAACATAAAATTTCATTCCTCATTTGATTTCTACAATTCAAACATATAGTTGGCAAAGGCAAATGATCAATTCAATGGATTGGGTGCAATGGTCCATATTCAACCCGGACGCATTCTTACTACAAGTTACAATCATGTATCAGCTCATTCCTCAAAAAAATAAAAATTTATGTATTAGGTCACCTCTCTATTCTTTTTTAGGTAATCAATGAGGTCATTTTTTTTTAATTCAAACCATAGAATAGAATGCATGCAGCATCATTTTTGAAAACAAACCAAACCAAATTATATAACTAAATCAAATCAAATCAAACCAAACCAAATTATATTACAAGCAAATTAAACCAAAGCAAGTCTTGTGACTCAAATCACATGTTAGGTAACTGAAAGAAATCTTCAACACCATCCTATACATTGTTTGGCTTCTCTAGTGTTTTGACTATTCTAGACGTGTATAAATTAAACAAGTATACTCACTTGAGTGAACATAAATTTTGGCATTGACATATATATATATATATATATATTGAAAAATAGTATGGTTTTTCAAATTCAATTAACAAATGCTAACATATGTTGATTATTGTATTTGTAATCAGCTGGATTACAAATATGAACTGAGTAAACTAATATAAAGTTATTTTTATTCATCAAATTTCTAAATAATATTACCCAATATTACAATTGACATCAAGTTTTGAAGAATATTTTTGGTTTCATCACAACTATATGAAGATTAAAACAAAAACATCAAGTTTTAAAACCCATATCTTATCAATTGACTAGCTAGGTATAAAGTTCTGTTTGGGTTCTCTCTCTAAAAAAAAAAACCTCCTTCTCGAGCCTCACCGTTGGCCAGCCGGCCGCCGCCTTTGGCCATGGCAGTTGGCTGGCCTACCTTTTTCTTCTTGTGCTGTTGTTGTTCTCCTTATAATCTTGAGCCCCCATTTGTTTTTCCGTTTCTCCTTTTCAGATCTAATCTCTAGATTT